AGTAGTAAACATTGCATGGACCATGCCTGCAAAATCCTTTGGGTGCATAACAAACCAGGCTCTGTCAGTTAACAGAACAAGGAAATCAGACTGAGCTTGGACTCATGAATCTGAATGGGCTGTTTTGAAGAGAGCTGTTGCACTCTGTCTTTTACAGAGCCCATATGCCAATCCCGCAGCCCACACCAAGAGAAACCATAGGGCTTTCTCCCTCCAATGCTGAGGAATGCTCTGCTCCGTGCTGCTTGGGAAGCTTCATTCATGGCTGGAGTTTCAGCTCCACACAAGCAAAAATAAAAACCCCAAACCTTTAGCTGTGCATTCCTGGACCAGATAAAAATGAGGCATTAAGAATGCACATGAAAGAGTGCTCCTTAGGAGTGTTCAGTGCACAGCATTTTGCTTCGTTTTGTGGTTTCCAATCCTCTTCCATCACTCTGCAAGAAAATGAGCCCATTGCCTTTTCACTGTTTCTGCAATCCCCAACTGGTTGTCGAAAGGAGTGATGAATAACATCCAACGCTGTCAAACACTTAAATCCCTTTCAAACTCCAGTCATTAGATGACATTATTTCCCAGTATGTTTGGAACTTAATGAAAATGTATCACTGATTTTTAATTTTATTTTATTTACTTTTTTATTGTTCTGCAGCTCACACTGAGAATGAGTTTCTTTTCCTTCAAACTATTGCTTGCCTAGGCTGGCAGCGTGGGATAGTGGATGTATTTAGTCCAGGAGGCAACAGTACAGAGGCAGGGGTACAGGCACGAATCCTCAGACACCTCACCTAACTCTGCCATCATTTCCCCCATCTGTTAGGTGAGAAAAATATTTTATTTCTCTTCATTATTTGTCCAAGAACATCACCTAAAGGACTTCAATCCAGACCAAGGTTTCATTTCGCTAGATGCAATACACGGGGGCAGGAGGCAAATCACATGCAAGCAGATGACAAGCTATGCAGATAGAGGAGGTTTCAAGAGGAAGCAAAACAGAAATGCCCCACCATGGTCATTTTGCACAGTGGTGATAAATAGGAGAGAAACGCATCTCCTGAGTCCCTCTGGATGCAGCTGCCTCTGAGAGCTGCACACACGTACATTTGATTTTGATCATCAAAGCAATTTTTTTCTCTAGTCGAATACTCTGTAAATTCTGGTGACCTGCTATTTGCTTTTTTTAAAAACAGGCTCATTACTGTTGGACCAGGTACATCTTATTGCCTGGCACACCTCTCACAAAGTCCTATTTTGCCAAGCAATCTGCAGGAAATTCAGGGTAAAAACCAAGAGTTTCTGAAGGTAGGTGTCTGATTCCAAACAAAGCAATCAGCATTCAATACATAATTCACAGCAGGGACAAAAAATCCTGAGCTTTCATATGCTGCTATTTCCAGTATTTCATTTTCACAGCCTCTGCTGGAAGCTTTCTCTCCAGAGTCACAAAGTTTTCTTGTTAAAAAAAAAAAAAAAAAAAGCAAACATTTATTTTATGGGCTGAAATTTGGCAGTTTTTTTTTTCTTTTTGCTTAAGGCCTTGCTGCACTCATCTCCTAAGCTAGAGTTTAAACAGAATAGTTTAAAAACATCCCTCTAAGTTGGGGAAAATACCTTTTAACAGAGGAGTTGGATGACCACAGCATCTACACAGCAGCCAGGCTGGGGTTCACCGGTTTAGGAACAGCCCCTACTCCCTTTCATGGAACTTATGCTCCTCCATGCCTTCCCTACACAACCTCCTTGTACTGTTACAAGTTGCAGTGGGTTCTCTGCCTCTAAACTTTCCAATGGGTTACTGCAATTTAAAGGTGTGATATGTAAACAGAAAATACATCACAGCTACACAAGAGGATCTCTGTACTTTATACATCACGCTAACAGTTCTGAATTTTACCAAACTGGAGGAAAACATTAATTAGATTTTGTCATAATGCAACTGCAGTTCTACCTACGTAAGGCTGATTCAGCTCCCTCCAAATCAACCACAACACCAGGAGACTGGTGATGAGCACACAGCCACCTCCCAAGCTCAGGTGTTGTTTGGTCCTTTCTAAAAATGAGTTCCAGTTGGACTTAGAAACACGGTGCCTCCCAGCAGCTCCCATGACAGGAAGCATCCCCAGGCACTGCTGTGCTGCAGTCAAAGATAACAACTCAGCGTTACAATTTTCTGTTGTCTTTTGATACGTGCAATTTGGAAAGAAAAACAAACAAACAAACAAACAACACAATGGCATTTTAATCCATTTTTGGCCGCTCTGGCAACTCAGCCAGAGAAACTCTCCATGGTGGGCTCAGCCTGGGGCAATGTCTTTGGGCCATGTCTGGGGTTGGCTGTAGCCCCCTGCAGTCTGAAACGTAATTCAGACTTTCCAAACCTATGAGGAGGACACGAATCCCTCTGCTCCAGGGGCACCTCCCATTGCACCGTGTCTCACTGCAATCTGGAGCATGGAGTGAGGATCAGAAGAGCTTCTCTCTTTGAATTTATGCCAATGAAGGCGGGCAGTGTTGGGCAAGCCACTCAAATCCTGCTATCACTCCTGCTCCAGCACGAGAGGACAATTTTATAGTTTAGTTTATGTTGCTTTAAAACTATTTCGAAGATCAAAGAAGAAGAAAAAAATAAACCCAACAATAAAATTCCTCTTGTTCCATAAGAGGAGCATCCCCAAGGGCAAGGTATACCTATACAATTATTATAATGCTTTAACTGCATAAGCACAACTGGAAACATCTCCAAAACAAGTTGTGACTCTTATCTTCCTCCACGCAGCCATTATCCTGATAAATTTGGGAAGGTCATTTGAGATGTAATCCAATAAATGCGCTGATGTTCTGAGTAAGTACCTCACAATTTGCAGCCTAATCTATTATCCCACTGTAAGACCATCAAATGACTCACCAGTTTTAATACTTGGTACAGATCAAACAAAGAAAAATATCAAAGCTTTACCTTCTAATTCCATCCTTCAAGGACTCATCTGAGTAGTTTTTAATTACAGTAAATGACACATTCAACTCGGGCATTTTCTATTTGTAGCAGCCATAGTTGGGAGTTGCTGTAACTGTACTTTCCATGGGACGTTGCCACATTAACCAATAAATGCCAGAGAGTCTCATAAGCCAAACACACTGGCTGGCATTTGGGATGGACAGCACCATCCTGCCATTCCTGGGTGGAGGACAGATCTCCAGATCCTCAACCAGAACCTCAAGCAAAAAGCCACAGGAACAAACATGTGCAACTGGCAGCACGTGTTGGCGGGCCTGGAAAGTCAGATCCAGTCCCAAAGTTGGGCTGTGCCTTCCGAGGTGCAGTAACTCTAATTATGCTGCAGAAAGCTGCGTTTGAACTCTGTGAATTTTTTTAATAGGATGGGTACAAAATAAAAGCGGGGAAACAATCTGTTCACACAATGCCAGATCCCAAAGAAAAGAGTATCAGGAAGCAGTCAGCAGTACTGGCAGATCACAAAACTGCAGACGCTCAGAGAATTGGTTACACGAGCTGCATGTCTCTACTAAGGCACTGTGGTTGACTGCAGGCATTGCCAAGGAAAATGGGTGAGTGCCAATCTCTTCCAGTTAACTCTCTCACAGGGTTTTGATGCTGTAAAGTATTTCCCAATACGAGTGTGCATTTGTATCCGCTTGGTCCATACAAACAAAATGAGCGCAGATTATTCGACACAGTGCCTGAGCACAATCATTGTTAAGACTTGTCTCACTGCAGACTCACTGCAACAACAAAAAATACACTGGGAAGAGGACCAAGTGGTATCTGGGCTGTGCTGTTGCTCTCTTTTGACTGACTGACCCAAATCAGACTGTTTATGTGGATGTATCTGTTAGCTTATACAGCAATCATGTAGATGCAGCTGGAATGAAGGAAGAGTTTACTGGGCAGCCCCTGCAGAAGGTTGCAACAAGAGCCCCTACCTGCAGACACCTGGGATGGGCTTGTGCCAACCTTATTCAACACCACTTTTGCTAAGTTCACATATTTAAACACGACCTTAAACCTAAAGGAACTCTGGTCACTGTTTTAGTTCTGTTCAAAAGTATCATTTCTGCATTACTCAAAACAAATGCAACAGTGAAAAGAATCGAGAGAGCCACAAAGTGAAGGGATAGCCTGTATGGACAGTGGGTGGGCGTTGTGTCACTCGACTCTCTCTTTGAATAGAATCAAAGGGTTTCAGTCAGAGCTGACAGTAAGGCACACATAGCTGCACAGATGCCTACAGACACGCGTACATATAAGAAATGAGACAAGTTATGGGAACAGGACACAAAAGAGCTGCGCAGATGGGCATAAACACGCCTGAGGTGATTATCAAGATCACATGCACTGCTCTTCTTTAAGTGCCACCGGGGTTTCACCACTTTCTCTGATAAAGACACATCTTACCATAACATAAGTAGTTCCACACAGATGCTACCTGTATTAGTGGCAAAAATTAGTGACTCCTGCAGTCCTCACGTAGACACAGTGGATTAAATGGGAACAGCAACCCACTTTGCTGGGCTACAGCCACCCTGAACTGTGTCATTGCCACTGATCACACCACAAAAACAAACCAACTTGAGACGCAGGTACCTGGATTGTTTTGACAGTGTAACAGATAAAAGTTAACAGAATGGGGAAAGAAATGTGTAAAAGTATTGGTGAACTGAGCAGATTTTAGTTCACAAGCTATTGTTGACAGAAAGTTGGGGCAAAGGAAATGTCTTTTTCTTTGTAAACTTTTTGCTAACAATCTCCAAGGCCAGTGAAACAATTGGGATCAGAGGCCCCTTGCTAGGAGGTACTGCAGCTTCTGAGCTGGTGCCCCTTCGGAGTGGCTGCACCCTTCATCCCATTGACAGCTACATCTGGATGCTATCAGGACACACTGGCATGCCTGCTCACACCAAATACCAGGCAGTTAGCAAACTGACTCAGCAGTTGCTTCTGGCCACTTTCCCACTCTGGGCTTAAGCAACATGCCACCAACCTGTTGGATCCGTGGTTTGTAGGGAGAGCTGCTCTCTAGATCGGCCAGGATGCTGGTGAGGGAGTCGATCTCTGCATCCAGGCTGGAGCGCCTCTCCTCAAGTGTCTTGCCACCAGGATTCACCTTAAAGAAAGAAGAAGAGTTCCAGTTACTCAGACCGTGGCCTGGAACGTGGTTTCTTAGTGCCCTCAAAGGGAGCTGTCACCGTGTCCCAGCAATAACTCTCAGGTTGCAGGGATTCTACAAACATGTTGAAACGCTACAGCTCTTCCCCAGAATCAGGGATGAGCAGAGAGGCTTCATCTCACAAAGATTTAGGCTGCTTTGAGGCTTTTCTTCATGCATTTCCCACAATGGTCCCATTGTGTTGACTTGGAGGATTATGAAACATGGTAAGCAGTGTGCTGCCAAGGTGTGCACAAAGGCAGTGGAGCTGCAAGCTGAGACCAGCACCCGGCCACCTGCACACCTATTATTACTTTGAATCACTCCATGGTAGCTCTACCTGTCTGATTCAACACTTCTTTACAATTTCCATCAGTCCCTCGAGGAGTGAAAAAGTTCAATTTATTTCTAGCAAACTCAAAGTGAAGGGCATGATTTGAAATAAGGAGTCACAAAGCAATATAATGAAGGTCCTTGGGAAAAGGGTTATTGTTCAGGGAAATCCATGACCAGAGCAGACATCAACCTATATCCAGGACCCTTTTCAATCGAGTTCACCTTGCTTTCTCTCTGCATTTAAATTGGCCTCTTCCCATTTGCATCAGTATGGTCAGTACATTCGCATGAATGGGAAGAGACATGAATTTTTACCACCATCATCCACCTCTGGAAGCGAAGAACAAAAAGCTCATGGCTCAGTGATGCAGGAGATAAAGTAGTCCCTATGGACCATAGTAGTGTTCAAGGACCAGTAATGTTTGAGGAAGCCAGCAAAAGATCCCCATCAAGTGTGCTGCCAGGAGCTTACCCACCTTAGCTACACTTAGGGCAGGCACAGAAGCAGAAGTTCTTGAGTCAAGTGAAATAATACACATTTAAAGTCTTCTCTGAACCTGAGTCATAGTCAATATTTGTCTTCTGTCCTTTCCCGTCTGAGTTATCTGCGAACTCCCCAGGCAGAGGCTCTCCATGTACATGCAGCTACAGAGCTCAGTGCAGCTTAACTATTACCATAATAAAAATACAAAAGAATTACATAACATCTCACCTAATTTCAGCTGTAACGCTGGTACAGACCATACCAACACTTCCCCACAGACAATCTAGCTCTGTTTGCCTTCATTCTCACCGAGTTACTTCAATTCTCCAAGCCAAAAATTTCCCTTTCCCTTTGGCTCACTGTCTGCTCCAGATAGGTTTTATTTGAATTTCATTTAAGGAGCACTAGATCATTACCTGCTTTACAGAACTCTCCAGTCATCAAATCCGACACGTAAGCAGCAACCTGGTCAGAGAGACAGCCTATGCAAAGCAGGGAGGCTCTGAGCTGCCAAGCTTATACGTGCTAAGGCATTCATTAGTTCCTAATGATTATTAAATCTTATTGGATTACAATAAATTTGGCTTGACTGACAGGAAAATGAAATCTCCAATGCGCTTTATGCAAGAACACATGATTTAAAAGGCTCAAAGTCAGGTTAGAAACTACTTACAAACTCATTTTTTCTTACTTCTTTTTATTATGGAACCAATCAAAGTTTTTCCATCCAAACTATTGTTCAAAAAATAATTACTTTAGGCAGGAATTGTCCCAGATCATTACTCAAGGCTAGCTGTAGGTATCTGCATTTTTAAACCTGAAAAAGTCTAATTTCCTTTCCATTACTAGCACACTTCATGGCTCTGGCTTGGTTTTCCTCTATCCTCCAATTGCTGGCCTACAACAACTGCAGGGCAGCCACAGGCTTCCTAGATTCAAAACACGAGATTGCTCCACTCCAGAGAATTTTTAAGCCAAAAGCCAGACTGGAAGGAGGGGGAGATGTGAAGGGCACCCAAGGCCCCAGCATCTGCAGAGATAAATCATGGAGCAAGTCAATGACGGAACCGGGAGTACAAGTGGGGCCCAGGATGGGGCTGCTTGGTGCCTGGCTGTGGGACGGCATTGACCCAGGAGAGGAGAGATGGCAGCAGATTAGAAGATCAGCCGATTATATTTCTGCTTCTTAGCATTTCTGTGCCATATTATTCCCAGGTTCTCATCCCCCAGAGCGATTATGCAATAACCGACGAGCAAAGACCGCAGAGCAAGTTGTGAGGTTGTAAAAGTTAAATGTCCTTAGGAAACCTAAAAAAATAAAATAATAATAATAAAAAAAAACAAACACGAACATGGAAATATCTCCATTGATTTGGGGCTCTGCAAAAGATTTATTTATTCAATTAAAATATAATAAATAGAGATGAAGAGCTCAATTCTCCAAGTGCTGAAGCAGAATGCAGTGCAGAATGTGAGGGCCAATGGGGATGGGACCGGACCTCGAGTACCTCTGTGAAACAGCAGTGCTTGCACAGACAGGCTTCTCCTTGTTCTCCATTCCCCATCTCCACAAATCTTGCATTTTTCTCACCACCACGCTCCAGTTTCCATCAAGGGATTTATTGCACGTGGGAACAGGAGGAGAATTCGCAACAGCAAAACTTTAGTAAGAGAGGGTTAACTTCTTTCTGTTCTCATGCTCTTTGTCATGACGTCGCTATAAAAGTTTTATGATATTGCTCTGGAACAGATCCCCAGCGCCAGGTCCCACGGCACAACAGGTCGGCGCAGGCAGGGCTCAGCTCCGAGGAACTGCGCCGGCTGAGCGAACGACTTCGCAAATCCGAACGCTTGGAACCAGAAAGAACCGCTCCTGCTATTTCTGTCGGATTTACTGCATCGCTGCAGTCACTTGTGCACGCTCCCTTTCAGCCAGCAGTATATGGAAAAACGGCTTTAAAAAGGGAAAAGGATGCTATCTTTGGCCTGGCCAACGTGAGTTCGACAGAAAGCAAACATAAACCAACCCAATCCAACAAATTACTCACGCCACAGACTATCCACTCACGTGCATTTCTGCAGCGCCTACACTCCCACCCCCTGGCTCTGTCCCTGCTGCGAGGCAGAAGAGAGAAAAACAGCACTGCCTGCCTTGTTGGCCGCCCCTGAACTCCCGGTGTGCGGCTCCAAGCAGCTGTGAGGGTAATCCACTCCTGCGCCCTGTCAACCCACACTGTTCCAATGAAAACTGGCTTTCATTTCCCTAATCCTACCTCCCAGCACCAGGCAGAGCCACAGGTCCCCTTGCCTCCCCAAGGGAAGCTCTGTGCAGAGCACTCAGTGCAGAGGGCACGCAGGGCCTCGAAGTTGAGCTCACTGTGCTAAAAAAGGCCACAGGACTACTTGTCGAGCTGGAAGATATGAAAAAACACAATGATTTCCCCTGGGGCCCCTTTTCCTACAACCTAGATCACCTGCTCTTATTACAGTTTGCAAGTTACAGAAGGGATGCAAGGACATTGCTGTTTGTCCACGTCAGCTCCTTGCAATAGGGATAGGGAGAAGAATCTGGCTCCCAGATGTCCCTCCAAGTTCCTGCCCCTAATTCCTCTCCCTACTCAGACCTAACCTCTCTGCTGTGCTCTGTTTCCCTGTTTCTCCTCACCTCGTCTGCTGCCATGCAGTGCTGCAGCCTGGGACAGTCGCTATCTCTGTGACAAGAGATGTCTGTGGGTGAGGGTTAGGTCAGGGTTAGGGCACCAGGGCTCACTACAGTGCTGTTTTCCACCACTGAGATCCACCTCCCTCCCACCCACTGGCTCGGCTCAAGGCTTATCCAAAGCAGGCTGAGTTAAGTCCATTTCATTGGTGTTGGAGAATGCAAGCTTCCCTTGCTGGGAAGTGAGATGCCCTACAGGTATAGATGTATGTTTGGGTGATGCGATGAAGCCAAACTGTCTGAGAGACACCGTGGAATCTGGCACTGGCAAAACTTCACTCTGATTTCCCCTCTTTCCACCCCTGCAGCTGTCTGCCACACTCTGCAGGCTGTGGGAATCATCACTGAAGAAAGAGCAAAAGAAAGGGCTCTCCATACAAGGAGCCAGCAGCTCTCCTGGCCCCAGGCAGTGGCCTTAGACAGAGCTGCAGATAGGCAAAGGAGGATGGGGCTCCTATTTTCTATTTTAGCTGAGGGCAAGTGGGAGAAAGGAGACGAAAGATGTTAGGTTTCGATGGCAAACCACCTACAGGAAGAGGCTGTGAGAAATTTTAACCTGGAAGAAGAAAAGAAGTGATTCAGTCTTGACACACTTCAGACTGCTATTTGTGTGTCGTTTTCTTTTACCCTCTCTTTGCACTTTCTCCAACATTACCACTGCCAGGGGCAAGATCCTCTTCCAACACATGCCCTTGCTTCCCCATCCCATCCCAGTTTCCCAGCCTTCCTTCACAATAGTCATGTGAGGCACAAAAAGCCACTGCAGTGGCAAAAAGATGCATCCTCGAGGGTATCCATCACGAAAATGAGGCACCCAGACCATGAGCTGCTGTGTCTGTTCTCTTCTCAGCCTAAAGACAAATGCAAACATTTTGTTTCAAATTCCCTGATGTAAATGAAAGCAGTTGCAAGAGCCTGCCCTACCAAGCACGCACATGGTGACAAGAACTGACTGCAGCATTCCGGACCAGGAGGGTCTAAAATGTTTGACTGATACAAAATCACTGTTTCAGGCACCAAGGAGGGGCTGGAAAAGTAGTCGTGCCCTTTAAAAACAGACAGATTGAGTCTTTTGAAACAAATCCGAAATGATGGAAGATTTCAGCAGATGTGACCGCAGTGATTTCACCAGACGTGATTGTATCAAGGATCTAATAGAAAAGAACTTCCCTGCTGTTCCGTCAGGCTGAAGCCAGGCCTGAAATATCCTTTTTACTCTTTTGATGACATCAAGAATAAAAGCCAAAGGGAAGTTGGGTTTTGATTTATTTTTTTTCCCTGCTCTTTCTTTTTTAAGGCATGGAGTGGTTTTACCTGATTTGTGTTGCTGGATGCTAGCTGCACCAAAGGAAAACACTTCAAAAGTTTGAAGTGGGCTGTTCAAAGGCATCGCTCGGTGTTTCTCTGACACGAATGTCA